TGTGAGTTCGAGGCCAGCCTGAACTACAGAGAGAGATCTAGGACAGGCACCAAAGCCTGTCTCGGAAAACAAACAAACAAACAAAAAACCACAAAACAACAACAAAGGAGTATTGCTATTCTCACAGAAGACCCAGGTTCAGTTCCCAGCACCCATATGGTGGTCCATAACCCTCTGTAACTTGTTACAGGGGCTCTGATGTCCTCTGCTGGCCTCGGAGGACACTAAATGCGTGCATGTGTACACATGCGCACACACATTTATACACATAAAATAAATCTTAAAATATTCTCATTTAACCCTCACAACAATCTTACTATGAAACAGGTTCAAAGAGCATGCACATACTGATAAGAGAAAATGCAGAGATCCACAAATAAACTCTAGCACGTGAACAAACACATTAACATGTGATTTCATGGGTCCTGTCTTCCTGATGACTTTCAAGGGACCCCTATGTTTTAGGTTTGGTCCCCAGCACTGAAAAAAAAAAAATCCCAAGAATCTTTCTTTAAGAATAATCTTGAGGAAGCCTCTAATTTCAAGGTTAGATTCCCATGGGAAGGAACCTGAAAATAAGTTATCTGTGGATCACATAAAATTCCTCTTCACTTGGAAATGTTCATTTGGAGACTGGCCACATTTCTACCACAGCCAAGAAAATACAGAAATTACTTCCTAAGTAATTATAACATTGTGATGTTTTATTTGTCTTTTTCCCCCTCCTGTGCAATAAAATAAAGGGGGGAAGATACATTACAGAATTTTTCATGCAGTTAGATATATCTTTACTACAGAAAAATATTGTCAATAGTTCACTCAATTGAATTTATTTTGTGTATGTGTAACTTTGCTTATCCATAAAATTCAAAAAGGCCACTGATTTAGGGAATATTATGGCCATTAGAATGATTTTTGAGAAACTAACTTGAATTTAGGAAGTTGAGTCCTAAAAGAAACCAGAACTGAAATACTTCTGAATTTCCCTAAAAATTTACCCACAAAACATCTCAAAGGCTATAGGTCTCAGAAAATGATCTGCTAATAGCATTTACATTTGACATTTCATGATTATTAATGGCATCTTTCAATATACTGATATTTTTCTTTATTTAGAAAGCATCCTTAGAGACCTAGTTTGGTCCATCCAGTTAACAAACACACAGAGCGGTCGGGCGGTGGTGGCGCATGCCTTTAATCCCAGTACTCGGGGCCAGTTCCAGGATAGGCTCCAAAAGCTACACATAGAAACCCTGTCTGGGGGCGGGGGCACAACCACGCAGAGCCCCTACTTTGCGCAAGACCCGGACACCTAGAGCCAAAAACTACCGGCCACATTGTTAATCTCCCACCTCCAAAAAATGAATCCTCCTGCCGGGCTGTGCTGTCCCAGCATCGCTCCACACCCTTCCACATCGCTCCACACCCCTCCATTAGTTCCTATGTCTTTTCTTCTTCAGAGAAATTTCTTGAAAGCAAACACTATCTCACTTGATGATGCATTCCTAGCATGGTGCACATACATCTGAACATCAGTATACTGTAGCGTGCTAAACCCATTTTATAATGAGAAAACTAAACCTCGAAAATGAATACGCCATTCCCAATATTATACATTAATTCCCCCCACTTCCTGAACAAACACCCCCCAATCAGCTGTCTCTTTCCCTGTAAGTCATCTGGATTGCTTAAAAAGGAAAAATGCAAGGCATATTCTACTTTTTCTTCCTATTCTCACATCTAATCAATCAATGCAATTATAATTTTCAAACATGGTGTCTCTCCAGTCTCCACCAATAGTCAAGCATCATCATCCCTCACTCCAGTCTCCACCAAGAGTCAAACATCATCATCCATCACCAAGACTTCAGAAGTGACCAGATTCAACTTGGCCAAGCACTTCCAAAGTTCACATTGCCCTGAGGATGAAGACCAAAATCATCTTGTCATTCAAAGCTGCATTCAAATCTCTTCTGGCCCCTTCATTCTACTCCATCTACTACTCACCCCTCTTCTCTCTGTTTGCTGAATGTGCAGTTCCTTCTGCCAAAACCCCTATTTGCTCCACTCTAAGCAACTCACATTGCTATCCCAAATTACTTCCTGATCGATCACTCAAGTCCCTTCAAATGCCACTTCCTACAGGAAACTTTCCCTGATTGCTCCAGAAAAGGGAAAAGAGTCATATTGGGTACTCCATCCCATCTTCAACTCATTCACCAGGAAGCACAGGACATCATACTTGGAATCGTTCAATGCAGGGGAAACACTTCTCTTCATTGATGCACCACAGCACTTATCACACAGTACCTGCTCATTTGATCTCTGCTGTCAGAATAAGTTTCGGGCTTTATCATGGCGGGTTTTAACACCAGGTCAAGCAAACCAAGAAGCAAAGATCAGTGTCCCTTTGCAGATCTACAAACTGAGGCAGAAAGACATGTGCAGCTCTTGAAAGTCACAGGACAGCAGGGATAGAGCCACATGGAATCCTCCGTCCATCTCATCTCTCCTCTGTATGTCACTAAAAAACCCCCCAGTGAGTGAGGGAGCGTTGCAGGAGAAGGGATTTAGTAATAATGCAAGGTGTTACAAAAGAAGTCCCATCCATAGGCTGACTTCAAATGGTCATCGGACTTTGCATGCCTGAAGAAACACTACGGTTAAGTAAAGAGACACAACTGTCACCACACCCAGCTCCCGGGGAGAGCAGCATAAAACAACAAACTTCTCTCCGCCACAAGGAAGACAAAATGGCAGGAACTCCAACTACCTTCAGAAACACAAATGCCGCTTGGCCACTGGCACTGTTACTAGCATTGTGCCAAGGGATGGACTCTTTCCCCACCACTCACTGGAACAGAGAGGAGAAATAAAAACACTAAATTAATCAGGAACTACTGACGACTACTTCTTTCAGGAGTCATTTATGAATTATCTGTGTAAAGCACTAAAACAAACTGTTAAACCCTGGGCACTTCCTAGCAGGTGTCATGGAAAGTAAAGGCACAAGAGCTCCAGGGCTGCATTTCATTGTCCATGTGCTCCTGGGCCCAGGTTACGTCTGTCAGGAAAACCACAACCCCAGCCCTGGATCAGGCTCATCGCTGTCATCCCTCCAAGCACAGACTCCGAGAAAAAGAAATGCTAGAGCCTCTTCAAAGAGGACTCTGAATAAAAATTCACACACATACAGCCTACATCCTCCAACCCCAGGGTGCCTTGGGGGGTGGGGTGAAGGTGTGGGGGGTTAGAAAGAGACTTAGAAAAAGAGATGTGAGACTCTCCCGACACAGGGGAGATCCTGAAACAGAGAAGAAAAACCAGCATTTATTGCAAATAGACAAGGAAAGAAATGGAATTTGGAGAGGTGGGAACGGGGTGGGCAGAGAAAGAAAGGCATAGAAGAGAAGGGCAGAGTGTCACCACAAGGATGCAGGCAACAGACTGTTGATCTTCTCCCAAATCCAAGCTGCGCCTTGCATGCCAATAAATCACTCTACTTACAAAGCCCTGACAATGGACTGTCCTTTGCTTTGCTTTCAGTAACACACAGCATTTAACCAAGTGTCACCCAGCTGCAACTCTGGAGACCTGAGCATCTAAATTAAAAATGAATAAAATTGGTTCACAGACGCTAAAACAGACAGTAATGACTCCTCCCCTGCCCCCCCCCCCAAAAGCCTGACTCTGCTGTGAAAAGCTTTAGCATTTTAGAGTTAAGCAAATACTCTGGCATTTCTCCTTCTTTTGACATTCCTAAAGGGGGTGTGGTTGACCCTAAGTCCATTCATTTCCAAGGTTGTATATCTCTCAGCTAAGACTGGCCCCATCTGTTCTGGAATCAGCCAGCTGTTTATCTCAAAGGAACACATTTATTGCAGTGTTCATCCCCGTAACTCTTAAAAGAGGAGAGCCAGCATCATACAAGCCAGAATGTTGCCTGCCTTACTGAATGTTTCAGTTCACTGAAAAACAACATTCAAACAAAAAGCACACTAGCATGCTCCCTGGTTTCCCTGCTCAGGCTCACTGTTCTTGGATACCTTTCAGGAATGGACAGTAAAGGGTGGCAGCACGTCTAACTTTTCCTTTCCCTAAAGTGTTAAAAAAAAAAAAAAAAGTACCCAGGTTTCCTAATCGATTCCGTCTACAAACCGTTAAGTGTGTGTGAGTGGAGACGGAGCTCGTCACAGTACCATTGTCAGTGGCAAGAGCCTATTGCGAGGTAATTTAAAACACTCACACAAGCACAAATCTATCAGCTCTACTTTCAAACAATCCTGAATCCCGCAGTCAAAAAAACGGAGAAAGAAAAAGCCGCTTAACAAAAATACTGCTTCTAGCAGCCTGAGAAAACCTTCTCTATACACGTGAAATATTTCTGACTGGCACGGAGTGCACCATTAAAGGACACTGTCACCTCAAGTCCAGCAGGGGAAAAAAAAAAGCGAGACAAACGACACAACCATGCAAACATAAAATAAATCCCTACCAAACTTAAGCGACTCAAGAGAAGCATGCTCATCTTAAAAAAAATAGTGTGTGTTAGTTCAAGAGACACAAATGTTCCAAAGAAGCACGACCACCTTAAATCACTGTCTCCATTTCTCCCCACACATCACCCTTTCCCACTCAAAGCTCAGCACTGGGGCCAGAGAATGACAGGACTGCAGTCCGCCACCTTTGCCCTCCTCCTGTTTTCCAAGTGCACTTCCCAACATCCTCGCCAGCCCAGCCCCCTCTCCCAGCCTCAAAAAGGTTAAAAGGAGTTGAGGCGAGGAAATTGGCAGGCACCAGTCCTCTGGCGGGGGCAGGTTGCTGGAGTTGTTCTTTGCAGTGACCCAAATTGCACAGAGCGATTTAGCTCTTAGCAGCGCCAGTGAGAACCTCCCGAATCCATACCCCCATTCCCGGCCCCATCTTCCAAAAGAAAGCCTTGAGCACTAAGCGGGAGGAATAACTTGGGAGAACGATTTGAATAAATCACTTCAACTCACCTGGTTTGGGATTTTTCTCCCCACCCCAGGCATAAACAGAAATGATATGCGAATTAATCACGCACGTAAGGGAAGGTGCTGCGGTGTCCTAAGTCCAAGGACTAGAGTCAGTCCCTGCCCTGGTCCTGCTGCTACTCAGGGCTCAGCTGGAGCGAGCGGCAATAGCGAGCCCAGCAGCAGCAGCAGCAGCAGCAGCAGGGGGGTTGGGGGGTGGAGAGACCGTAGCACAATGAATGCAGTGGGGTTTTGCAATGACATCATCCCTCTGTCCGAGCGGCCCCAATAGCCATGCTCCAGAGCTGTGCATTCTGGGATCTGTAGTCCTCTGAGGTCCGTGAGGGACGCAGAGGCTACAGCTAGAACTACAATGCCCAGGATGCTCCGGTCGGAGTGCCCAGAGAGAGACCGGACCGGCCGCCATGTTGGAGCTCAGGAGCTGCTGCGGGCCGAGGCTTCGGCGCTCGTGGAGCTGAGAAGTGGCGTGGTGAGAATGATGAGGCAGAGGATGTAGGGGTTGATAACCTCGAGCACTGGCTGGGACTGGACGGAGACTACACTGGGGATGGGCAGGGCCGTGGGACCGGCGATGGCCTCGCGAGTCGGCGTGAGCTTCAACCCGCAGGGGTTGCACAGGGCCTCACGCCTTTCCCTCGGCTTTTTACCCGGGGACCCAGGAAGTCGCTTCACTTCTGGGCGCGAAGGAAACCTTAGATTGTTCCTAGCGGGACAATCTGGGCAGAAGGTGTCTTTGTTGTGTTCCGGGGTCCCGGGACGCCGGGCCTCGCGCCAGGTTGGACAAGAAGCCCGCTTGCACCCGATGAGTGGGGCTAAACCTAGGTTAATTTTTTTTGTCGTGTTGCCATTTTTTCCCCTCTATCCCTCATGCCCTCTTCCTCAGGTGTCTGACCTCCCCCCCCACCGCGCGCGCGCGCGTCCTTCTCTC